GTGATCTTGAGGACAGAGACACTGGTGATCTTGAGGACAGAGACACTGGTGATCTTGAGGACAGAGACACTGGTGATCTTGAGGACAGAGACACTAGTGATCTTGGGGACAGAGACACTGGTGATCTTGAGGACAGAGACAATGGGTTCCTGCAGTTTCCAGTTCATGTCAAACTCTGTGTCCTGGACGTCCAAACCTTTCTTCAATGGGACGGCAGCAGGTGAGTTTGGTTAACCCATTGATCGATGTCAAACAAATCATTTTACACAGACTAGAAGAAACTGCCTGCTGCAGTCGATCCTGGTCACTGATGAGAAGTCATTAAGTCTTTAAATTGAAGATTTAAAATACATTATAGAGCTTCAGTGTTACTAAACTAAAGGCCCAGCCTTTCTTTGGAAGAAAGCATGACAGCTGCCAGTTTTATACGGAGCTCATCTTATGTTCAGAGATGACTTTAAAAATTTTTTTACCTGTTTTTATCTTTTTTAATCTGCCTTTAAATCAGTTTTCAAACAGGCATGTCTTCAGAAACAATCCTTCTAATTTCCTTTAAAATTTTCTCTGTCGTAAAGCTGAGAAATATGCTCTTTAAAGTTAGGGCTGAAAGGCATCACTCCAGACCAATAAAAACAAGTTTTCTAATCGACACTCTTGTAAACTGGACACGCTTGTTTTTTTGGCTCAGGGATAAATCAACAAATTTCAACAAACTTCGCATCATTTAAAGTTTTTGAGAAGGGGAATTTGAAAATAAAAGAAGATATTTGGCAGCAGGATGGCTCAGTGGTTAATTTGTTGCCTCACAACAAGAAGGCCCCGGATTCGAACCCCTCCTGGAAGGAGTCGAGGTGAGGCTTTCAAAGCTATGAGCACGGTGGTGGTAGTATCAGGCTGTGGGGCTGATAAAGAACATCAGGTGAGTGTTCTGACCTTTGAGCAGGGGCAGCGGGGTCAGCTCCACCTGGGAGCTCTGGTAGCGGAACTGGGACGAGCTGTGGGACCTCCTCTGCCGCGCTCTGCGCATGGACCTCCGCGGGAAGCCATCCACCTTCTCCGCGGAGGGCACCGAGAAGCTGGTGGTGGGCGAGGACGGGCTGGACGGAGGCAGCTTGGTCTCCATGATGACGATGATGGATGTTGGTTATAGATGGCGTCGGTCTGAGGATGGCCTTCTGGATCAATGGATCAAGAGGAGGAAGAAAGAGGGGAAGACAGGGGAGAGAGAGATATCAGGGTGTCCAGTTCTGAGCTGCCTGGATTGTTTTTTTGCTTCTTTTTTTTATCTAAAAAGGTAAAATGGCAGCAGCATCCCTGAAATCTTCTGTTCTTTTTTTTTTTTTAATCCCCAGTGATGCTCTCACACAAACTCAAGTCATCGGCCTAAATTTGGGATAAGTCATAATTAAGCTCCTGCCTGTCCGAGTCAAAACAAGCAAAGAAAAGAATCCCAGGAGCGTTTATTGTTCAAGCTCCTCGATGAGAACTGATATGGACAGAATCAGAGTCCGGTTCTGAGCGATGATATCATTAAATGATCAATCTGGGCCCACCTTGGCTGCCGCATCACTGCTGTCCTTCTGGCTTCTGTATTTATCTCTAACAGTATTTTTTATCCTCGCTCGGAGTCGGAACCTTTGTCTTAATATCTTCGAGGAGCTTCTTCTTTCCTCACGGCTCCTTCGCCTCCTCCTCTCCGTCCTCCAACCGTTTCAGGGCGGAGAAACAAACCGACATGTGCAGGTCCTCCTCCGCCAAGCCAGCGGCCGATGCACTTCTCCTCCGCCGCCGCTCCGCTTCTCGCCTCGCGACCAGAAAAAAAAAAAAAAAA